TTTTTATAAACATTCTATGAGCTACAACAATTTGTTGAACCAATCCTTGTGAAATTTTTGTGGTTATATTCATAAGTGTTTTGATCATTTATAGGCAACATTATGACCATGAGCATGAGCATGAACGCCCGTGGATGCAACTCCGTTATTGCCATATCAGCTGTAATTACAAAAAGAACCAATAGACGTTACTTGGGATTAGCAATCATCCTCAATGTGTAAATACTGGTGATCTAAAACTAGGCAAAACCAGCGCTGGCCACGTCCGATTACTGGTCCATGGGTAGGAATATGTTGTCACTTTAATGAAAGCCGAGAACACCTCTGCACTTCCACGAGAAATCACTAGGATGTTAGATAAAAGTGTTGGGATTGCAGCAGGATTCGTTTTGGTGAACGATGTGCTGAATTGATAGCCTAACGATTCAATAGCGCGAAAGAGCATGGGATTGAACCCACGGTATTCTGCTCAAAAATCGGTCGCCAATACGCCACCGAGCTCCTTATATCACAAAACAATTACGATCAAGTTTCCGTTCAACTTGTTGTTATCCCGGTGGTGACCTCACCAACGACGGCGACAACAACCGCTCTTGAGAAGGAGAAGGATTTGATATGGATTTCCGATCAACACGTCTTCCATAAAACTAAAATATTACTTCTTTTACGTATTTGTTTACTGTATAATGTGAAGAAGTTTGAGATTGAGCCCATAATATTCTGCTCAATAAGCAAAATCGGTCGCCACTAGACCACCGAGCTCGTTATATCATAAAAAAAAACTACGATCAAGTTCCCGTTCAATTTGCTGTTACTAGATTTCGGTCCCGGCGGCTAGCTCACAGATGACGACAACAACTGCTCTTGAGAAGGATTTGATATGGATTTCCAATCAACACATTTTAAACAGACGATTTTATATTCAGTAAGCAAAAGTGATAGCCAATAAGCTAGCCGAGCTCAAGACTTTATAAGGTAAAAAAATAATTAAGTTTAAACAATTAACTGGAAAGGATCTGATCAGAATGATCTGTAATTAGCCAGCCTCCGAATGTTTCATACGTTTAAAATCAATCGCTTTTCCATGTTCACCGCTTTAAACATATATGTAGATATTTAAAAAAAATTAACTTTATCGCGTCGTTATTTCTATATATAAAAATACTGAGCTAGGATTTCGTCCTCAAATTGTGATTTAGGCCTTAATGAAAGAAATAAACTCAATTATTTTTTTGTGTGGAGAACACGGCTCGAACTATAATAGAAATCTAAAGATTTTCCATCATCGAAGGGCTGATAATAAAATTTTAAACAATAAACTCAACCTGAACAAAGGCTGAAAAATAAGTGAATCTAAAGATGTTCCATCCTCGAAGAGCTGAACATAAACTTAAATCATTTATTTTAATAGATCTAGCCTGAACAAAGGCTGAACAAATTTTCATTATAATATAAATCCAAAGATTTTCCATCATCGAAGGGCTGAACAAATAAATCAATAAATCCAGCCTGAACGAATTCAGCTGTCTTTTATAAATGTCACGGGAATTATGGAATCATATTATTAGGGAAGGCAAGCCATAGGATACACCTAGCCGGTGTTACTGGCAATATTACATTTTCGCCAATATGTGAGAAGCTTTATTTTAAAACAACGTGTAATTAAGATGAACGATAAAATATTGGTTATTTATCAAGTTCTAAAAATTTCATAACGATTGGATAACAAACAGCAGAGCAACAATGTTGTGTGATGAAAACGTCGCTAGAACTATTCCACAGCCGCAGTCAGTTTATGAGCAAAAGAAGGACGCACATTTTTTGCCTGTAGACTTCGAGACATAGGGTTTTTGATCTTATTTCCGTCCTACTAAGCACAACCCGCGTTTTACCTATCGTTTTTGAACGGGTTTGAACAAAAAATGGAATATTTCTTTCAGAGATGACTTCTAAATTTATTTACCTTTCCATACGTACCGTTGGATTTGATAAAGAGTCACAAATTGTTGAGATATTGTTTAAAATCTAATACTGCTTCTTGATTCTAAACCCGTCCTACGAGTTTCAATTCCGTCCAAACGCATTGAAACGCCATTAGGTTTTCTTCGTCCTACGGATAAACGTAGAAAAAGGGGATTCGCTAGGAACGCTTCTTTTGAGCGTAAATATTCATACAATGCGCTCTAACAAGATTTATGTAGTAGCTAATGGACTAACGCATCGGAACAAACCTATTATTGATTTGTGCACGGTGAAATCATTGATATTATTGATCTTTTCTGATCGATAGAACGGAAATGGGCGATTACGACGAAGTAGCGCTCTACCCTACTTCAAGTCTCCGCGTACATCGTACGGGTTAGGCAAAAGATGTGCGTCTAACTTTAAAAACTGTCGCATTAATGGCCCTTCGCTCATTTTCAACTTCTATTCAATTTTCATACTGCCATACTCTAACGGAACTATCCACCTACTCTCTTCTAAAGATCATTCTCTAGCTAATAAATTATCACATTAAAGCTTCATGTTAGCATTTCCAACCAACTCTGAATGTTTTAATGACAATAATATACAAGGTAGCTCTATTGTCCTGACATGCACTGTATAATATTTAAATCAGGCAAAAATGGTCAGAGAATGATACGATGCAGGAAAAGGTGTGATAATCGAGAAAATTAAATTTTTAAATTGGTCCGATCTTTCTTATATTGCAACCTTTTTAACTTCAGTTAAATCATAACCTATGATTAAATTATAGCAAAGAAAACCATATGCTAATGAAGTGTTAATTTACAAAAAAAAAATGGCACTTGACTGAAGAAAGGCTAAAATGCAAAATCCAATTGACGTACAGAAGGAAAATGTTTACACAGTTCAATATGACGCCCAGGTACGATGGCCGACATTAGAGCCATTTCCCCTTTTTGAAGTTTCTGCTAGAAATGACGGAAATACGCGCTTATGCCGAAGTAGTTCTCAATATTTAATCATAATTTAATTTAATCATAAGAATTTTCAATATTTAATCATCACTTGCCGTAATAGTGGTATGCTTGACGAAAAGGGCAGGAAGGCAAGGAGAGCTGGCAGCCATTAATGTCATAGATAATCCATGATAATCCGTGATATCTGGCAGCCATGGCTGCTGCTATTAGGGGCTTCCTTTTATAATGTTCTTAATTTTCATTAATATTGCATCGTGCCTTTATCGGAATATCACTAAAACTAAAAAACGGCTTGATCCTCATATATGCATCATTCGAAAGAGGGGAGTTTTCCCGTCATTTTGACGCTTTTAATTAAGTTTTTCATTGTGAAGTCTAGAATAAAATTGGGTGTCCAGATGTTTTCCTTACAAAAAGAGTAAGAGAAAGTGACCCATAGAAATAATCGCTCAAATTAATCCATGTTTTGCATGAAAAAGTGCCTCCAATGACACATTTCAGTAGTAGACTCAAAAGTTCCTCTTTCGAATGCCGATTTTTTAATTTTATTGTTATTCCATTGATCTACTGATTAAGATCGATCTGTATTTGATTCGCATTTTTCCAAGTTCTTCTTCTTCTTTTTCTCCTTCTAGTATTTCAATCATATTGCTTATCGTATATAAGCTTATTGTGTGCTCCCAACTTAGTCTTCTAGAAGCTCTTCTACAGTTACTAATTGAGAGCTTTCAATGCCTGTACAATTTTTGCACTAGAATAATTGTATGGCAAGTACAATCAAATTCTACGCACAGGGATGTCGAGAAATTTTCCATCCCGAAAAATTTCTAAACCGAACCGGGAATCGACCCCAGCCACCTCCAGCATGGTATTGCTTTGTAGCTTCGCCTGCACTGACTGAGTTAAGAGTGTTATCATTTAATGTGTGGTTACTATGATGATAGTTAACACAGTGATGATAGTTTTCACCATAGTAGACTACTGCGCTAATAATGATCCCAGTTTTTTTTTCAATCAGGCAAGGTAAAATGAAAATTTCCCACCTTGAAATGCGCTACATTAAAAAAAAAGAATATAGTGTCGACATTTTAACGGCGATATAGCTTTGAAAATTATGTTTTTTTTTTTATATCTGGCCTGAGCAAAAAAAAAAATTAAACAGATTATTTTTAGAGCAGCGCATTCTGGTGCAATTGCGCAATATGTAGAGCTGCAAATACAATCCATTTCCGTGAAACGTATCAAAAAAACATTAAAGTTAACAATGACATGCAACATTGCTGTTTTTGAAAATGTTGTACTCATGAGTTGTATTACGACTGATATAAAATAATTCTACAAGGTTCTCTGTGTATGAAATGAGTTCTATTTGAAATGTTTAAACTTTTGATACATCCAAACTTTTGTAATGACATCAACCAAATTAGAAGTACGTACAAACTTTTCAATCGAATGTATACTCAACATAATGAATCTAATTTTGTCGACGATTTTTTACCGACATTATTTCCATTAAACCCTTTTTGAATTCTATTTAAACATTTAACAAATTTTTGTTGGACCATAAAATTATCGTCGAACAATGGACAATGCCATCCGTGATATGTTGTAAGAAAAAGAGGCGTGTGCCAAATGTCAATTGTCTTCCGGCTTAATGTATTATGCCAACAATTAATTTTATCCAATACACATAGAAATATACCTCCATTGAAAAACCGACACCGTCGGCAGTGTTACGTGACATTCCTGCAAACATGACCCCTTCGTGGCATAGCTCTGAGAAATGGATTATATTTGATTTAATATCCTCATTCCCACTCACTCCTCTCTCCCCGGCACCGAGTCAATTGTTTTACCCCGCTATCGAACTCCTAACAAAGCGTCGCATAACTCTTTCCCCTCACACAGCATTTGAATAGCTCTCCAATCATTAAGGTGGCATCCAGCGGCGCCTATTTCAATTCAAACCCACACGAGTGACCTGCCCACCTTTTCCCTCCATTCATGTGTGTGATTGAAAAATTCTCATATTTTCTTTCATTTCTCGTTTTCCAGAGTCCACGTGGTATGCAGCCGCCGTGTAGCCCACCAGGATTGCCGATTACATCCAAAAGCCCAACGATGGAGTCAGCGAACAGTAATACCAGCATCGAGCCGGAACCGGTTGATCAGAAACCAGTCAAAATCCAGCGAACCAGCGGCGGAACGTTGAAGTTTTCCATAGCGAACATTATGGGAAGAGATGATAGGGACGATGAGGAAGAGGAAATTAGGAGGAAGGAGAAGCGTGAGGTTATGCATCCAGCTCCGTCAGCTAGTCCCCCGTCGGCCAGTTCCAGCCCCAGCTATGAACAACCGTCGGGGATGACGGTGAATGAGTCGGCGTTCAAGAAATACGTACCTAGTTCCATGCATCAATTCGTGGTCAATCGCCATCAGGATCTACTGAGTCAATATCCGTTGCTTTACTATCCGGGTCAATTAATGTGTGCCGCCGCCGCTGCTCAGTATGCAGCTCTTGCTCAGCATCCGGTTTCATTGCTAAATGCTTCTTCGTTATCGTCTGTCGGTACGGCCGGTAGTGGAAACAGTGCATCGGCCTTACATCCCTACGTTCCGACGGCAAATGCATTGCGGAGTTTGGAAGCTTCATCCATGTCTCCACCGCAGCATTCCATCGGCCATCACAAGAAATCGAATCTTAATTCTTCGACGTCTTCATCAGCGTCGTCTAGCGATTTGAATAGTTCTACCAATTCGACGAACTCTAGCAACCCCGCTTCGGCAGCTGCCATCGCAAAGCAAAAGACATTTGCCTGTCCTGAGTGTGGTAAAGTGTTCAACGCACACTATAACCTCACGCGACATATGCCAGTCCACACCGGTGCTCGACCGTTTATCTGTAAAATTTGCGGTAAAGGATTTCGCCAGGCCTCGACTCTATGCCGGCACAAAATCATTCATACGGCGGAAAAACCACACAAATGCCAAACCTGTGGGAAAGCCTTTAACCGGTCTTCAACTCTGAACACACACACTCGAATACACGCCGGCTATAAGCCGTACATTTGCGAGTTCTGCGGAAAAGGCTTCCACCAGAAGGGAAACTACAAGAACCACAAACTGACTCACAGTGGCGATAAGGCATACAAATGCAGCATTTGTAACAAGGCATTTCACCAGGTCTACAATCTTACCTTTCACATGCATACCCACAACGACAAGAAGCCCTTCACGTGTAAAATCTGCGCCAAAGGATTCTGCCGAAACTTCGACCTTAAGAAGCACATGCGAAAGTTGCACGACGTCAGCGTTAGCGCCAGTCTCAAACGTCAGCATCACCACCACCTGCACCATCAGCAGCAACAACAGCAACAATCATCACAGCAACCGTCGGACCAAACTCCCCACAATTCAGCAACTTGGCCAGGAGGACCCTCACAGCCCTCGTCTGCCACCTCTCTGGCAGCCCTATCTGCCTCGCCACTTTCCACCCTATCAAACCTCCACCATTCGGCCGTAGCGGCAGCTGCACTGCGCTCCGGAGACTACAGCAGTCCTTTCCTGATGCCCAACTCCCGTGGAGCTCGGCTGGATGCTCCCTTCATAGGGAAGGTTTTCTGACAGAAATACTATCAGCATAATTTCGGCGCCCATCTCCACCCATCAGCACAGCATGCTGCTGGGCTGATACCACATCAACAACCGTCGGCGCTGCAGCAATCGCAGCAACCACAGCTGACCAGCTTGACCAAGAGCATTTTGATCAACTAATTATCATGATGGGACCACCAGTGTTTCGAGAAGAAATCGATTCATAAGAAAACAGTGCAATATGTCGCGGAGGGAGGAATGCAAGAGGCTATTATCGGGAGAGGCTAGAAATTAGGACGATGTTAGATCGATGAACGGATAGACAGGAAAACCAATCTTTGAAAGTTGAGCCAGTGATTTGAGTGAGTGATCAACGTTTAAGTAGACTAATGCTAAGGGTGTAAATAGGTATTTAAAAGTCATTAGAGACAACAAACATGCGAACAGTGATTGTTTTAAACTTATTCCATCTTCTAGATGTGTATTTTAGTAGGGTAATTGCGGAGGATGTGTATGTAGTAGTAGAAACACACACACATACGCACGCACATGCAGCAAACAAATCAATTGCATCCCAAAGTGGAAATATTTGCTAGGTGTAAGCATAGAGAAAATCGAGAAAAGCGAATTTATTTGTAAAAACATTTTAACACTATATTAGACATATGTGTAATAGAATGTTTCAAACTTATATGAAATAAATCACAATGGAAAAATTAAAAGGATGGAATTTTGAATTTTACGGATGACACTCTTGATGACAAAACTTATATTCTCAATTTCATAGGGAAATGTTGTACTGTGTAGACTACTGCGCATGTCACTTACAAAAACTGATGATCACAGAAACGTGTTTCACATTTCTAAAAAGGTACCGCTAGATGTAAATAATGCATCGACAATGTTAGCTATTTAACAATCAAGCTGGAATAAGAAGTATATTAGGATGCAAATATTCATTTAACTTACAGTCAACTCTTTCTTACTCGATCTCCAACTCGATGCAAATCGAGACTACTTTAACTAAAATTCAACTTCGTAACTCGATATCCTCCCTCACTCGATGTTTCTTTCAATAGGATGCTGCACGCTGACGTCACGAATGAACGCGATGAACCCGAATTCATCAGTTTGACATCCAGTGGTGGTTTGTTTACCTTTGCTTGTTAGTCAATTCAAGTGGATTTGAGGTTTTAAATAAAAAGAATTAAAAGATATGATATCCGACTATATTCGTTTGAAAAATATTCCTCTCCAATAAATCTTTAAAAAAATTAATAGATTTTTTAAACTTTTTTTTTTCTAAGTCCATGTAAACAAACCACTGCCAGATGTCAAAAAAGTGAGGTTACCCCAACGGTGCAGCTCCCTATATCAAGTTTGTGAGAGTTGTCTTTATATTTTTGACATTTCGACACCAAGATTTTCAAGGCTACTGCTTTTCATGTTGCCATTTCAGAAAAAAAAAATCAACACTAATATACTATGAAAGCTAATAATCTGACGCCAAAATCTAATTTGTCTCTGAATTTTCAATAGCTAGAAATTGTATTGTTGATTTGTTTATTGAGCAATTCCACGCTAAATGACGAATCGATCTGATGCGACCTTCCTTTTTTCTTTTTGCATGAAACGTTGCATAATTGTTTGTGTTTCGACTAGAGAGGGTCTAGTACAGGGTGCGTGACGAATTTTTGCAGTAAATGGCATATTTGAGGAAAAAATACACCAGTTAGTTATTCTAGCAATGAATTTTGTGCGATTTATTTTCTTTCGCAACATATGGAAGTTGTAAGTAAATTTATTCAAAAAAATTGCCTTCCCTTTCGACGACTGTAGTTAGACGCTTCCGGAAACTGCAGTATGCACGTTTTAAAATGTTTCGATCCATAGATGTCATCACTGCCTTGATTTTAGCTTTTAGCGACTTAAGTGTGATGTGAGGGGTTCTATTGGTATCCCGTTGGACGACGCCCTATACAAAATAATCCAACGGATTGATATCGGGACTGCTTGGGGGCCAAATTTCTTCCTCCCAAATTTACGAAATATTTTCCGTAAGCCATTTCTGTGCTTTATTAGCAGTATGAGCAGGTGCTCCGTCTTATCACTTTCCCAAGCCTTTTTTAATATTATACACTGTTCTTTCAGACACATTTACCGACCGAATTATTTCTTTCATGCATACTCCGGCGCGCAACAAAGCGACAACGGCTCACAGATTGCTCTCTTGTTTCGACATCTTTACGTTTACTCAACATTGTTTGTTTAAATCTTACACCTAACAGTATAAGCTATGCAGTGCTGCCAAATATATCTTAATCATGATGCACAAGCATGAGAAATTACTATTTGAAATTTACTGCAAAAATTCGTCACGCACCCTGTATAAGAAAGGAGCGGATTCAAAACAAACTACCTTTTGCAACCTATGCCTAGGCGATTCTAGCAACACTGCCAATGCAATCACGATAGGCACTGATCGATTGGCTCTGGCTTTGACAGTTCGTTTGGCACAAAATAGACCAATCGATGTCCGTCGGTGATTTGACTAGATTGCGAAAAAGCGACTGACGTTAAATAAAGGAAAGAAACATTCTCCTGTGTGCAATAAAACAGTTCCAGTACTAGTGAGAAGGCTTACATTAATGACGGTAAGCTCCAACTCGGATTAACCATAGAGGTAACTCTAAGACTAGTAGGTCCCGAAGAAACGTGTTCAACTTTTTGGCTCAGCTCTGGTACTATCTTCGGTCACAAGCTAATCGATGCACCCCTCGAAACATGGGAAAATCTACGAACCCCTCATTTTATCTGTCAAACTTTAATAGAGAATCAAAACAAACATAGCGTAGTACTAGAATTCCGACTAGAATGGGATACGTTAATCGTTTGCTTGGGACCAATAGGCTAGTGAAGTAGTGAGCCAATTGGATTAAATCCCGATCAAGAATGTCCAGCTGCCTTGAAGTCGACATCAGAGTTGATCAACACGACACTAAGTAAACATTTTGCAGATTATCCAAACAGGGGCGGTATTAAAAGTTAATCCAACAATCAATACGAAACTATCGATTTGAAATTGGCTCACTACTTCACTAGCCTATTGGTCCCAAGCAAACGATTAACGTATCCCATTCTAGTCGGAATTCTAGTACTACGCTATGTTTGTTTTGATTCTCTATTAACGTTTGACAGATAAAATGAAGGGTTCGTAGATTTTCCCGAGGGGGGCGACACATCTAAATCTCAAATTTAGATGCTCAATAAATCTCACACTAGCGAAAAAATCTTCGAAAAATCTTCTTTCATTTCTCGCATCTACTTGCATCGCGCATCATCTTTTTGCAGGAAATCTTCAAAATCGTGATAAATCTTCTTTCTATCTACTCAGCGTACCAGCTAGCGTACCAGCGTACCAGCTAGCCACAGCAAAACACAATATTTCCTGCATCGTAGATAGAGTCGTCCCCCTCGGATTTTCCCATGTTTCGAGGGGTGCATCTATAGAATCTTAGCAAAGTAAATGTTGCAGTACACTGAAAAAAGTGTTCACATAGCTTCTATTAGGAACGCATATAATTTTTTTTTTTCCAATATCGAAATTAATGATGTGTATCTGAATATGATGTAACAGCGGCGCCGGTGGTGTAGTGGTAAGCGTGATTACCTCTCACCCCAGCAGGCCTGGGTTCAATCCCAGTTGGCGCCACCGGGATGTTCTGAGGCATAACATCTCTGATCACGCCTTCCTTGGGAAGGGAAGTAAAGCCGTTGGTCCCCGGTTCATGAAGTTGATGGGTCGATAGGTACACGGATAGAAATCTCCTTATACCTTTTGGCAAATTTCTATTGCTGATTCTTCATAAAATGTATAAGTCAACGCCTTGCAAAATGTTAATGAAAATCATGTGTCAAATGAAATGTATAAGCGGTCACACATACCTTTTATGCATTCTTATAGGACCTATGTGGTTTGTCTTATGGAATGTATAAGGCTGATGTTTTGGCAAAAATGTATAAGTAAAACACATGAATAAAATAATTGATTTTCGTTTCGTGTAGGGTCCAGGTGTGGGAGCTGCCTCCCTGGCGTCGGTAGCATTGGTGCTCAGCACGGAAAACAAGATCGACGGAAAACAAATCAAAGGAAAAAAAAATAAAGAATATGATGTAACATAATAAATTGTATGTGAATAATCATATAGACTTCATTGGACACATAAAGTTCATGTGATTTAGTGTTGCAATTTCCAATTATGGGATCACATGAAAGTTATGTTAAATTCACATGGATATTTTCCACTGGCTACGTGATTTATTTTATGAGTGTAACTTTGATTTTTAAATTTTAAGACATTGTTTTCTGGAACCCCGTATCTTACGAGTGGGATAATAAAAATAAAGATTATTCAATACACTAATTTGTTAGCAATTAGCCTTTAATATTTAAAATTCAAATCTATTTGACTATCTAATCATAGGGATAGATCTGTTTACGATCTGCAAACGCCAAAAATCTAAGGGACTATTTCATATATTTCCTAAAGTGCAAACTTAAATGCCTGTCAAATAGTTTCTACATGTCTTATTACACGCGACATATCAACAAACGTCAAAAATCGTTAAAAGCGACCTCAATGAAATATACATGATTATCATAAAAGATATACATCTTTTAGTGAGCAATGTTCACGAAAACAGGTGTATTGTGTAGTGGATATGGTAGATGTTGTAAATAAATTCACTAGATATGCTTAAATGTGTTGATAATAATGAATAAATGGCCAAGTAAATGATAACACCGACTTATTTGTACTAAACATCGAAAGCAACGAGAATGACAATTGAACGAAAATCGGATAGTTTAGTATCTGATTCGGGCAGACAGTCTCGCGTTTTGCGAGTGCGTCTACTTTTGGAGCGAAATATGCATATGATGTGTTCAGCCCGGTTTACATTAGAGGGAATGTTATATAGAGGCTAGACAGAGATAACAATCAGGATCAATCGCCGATTAGGGTTTCGCGTCCGTCATGAGAACAAACGAAAATCATTCTGTTGACGATTGTTACGAAGTTAGCACGTACACAGGACTTGGTCACTACATATTGTACTGGATTTTATTAAAGTTCAAACTTATATGAATTTCCATTAGTCTCTAGATGTCTGTTCCCACCCATGACATATAAACAGTTTTTCAATATAAAATATATCAGACAATATTCATATGTGAAATTACGATAGAAATCATTCCATATCGCAGTCATAGTTTTTAACTGATAATCCAATGAAATCTATCAATCATCACATAGAATGTGAAGCGCCCATACTCCGTTGCGCATCCATATTTCACTCCCGTGGTGAAGTGCCCAACGTAGAGCAACAACTCGCGTGGTTTTTCTTCCTCTGTAAAATGAAAGACAGTGCAATTCCATTTCTACTGTATGGAAAAAGCTCTTTGATGAATCAGTTATCCTGAGGTTGAGACTGTGCTCGTCCGCACCTAGCAAACCTCGGATAATAACTCATCAGAACAACTGCTCCGATTCTTTATTATTCGAAACCTTTTATACATGAATTTGTTACTTAAACTCTACACAATAGTTTTTCTCCAGTATGTACATATAAAGCGAGACAGATAGTTTTTCTCTTGGAAAGTCGGTGTCTGTTTTTTTAACAAGAATTAATGCTCCTCGCGGTAGGAACGGCTATGTAGGGT